ACAGGGCTACGAATACCAGCATTAGAGATAAAGTTGGAATAAGATCATGTCTGAATTATATTGACAAAATACGAAATGGTTGCGCTATCTAGTGAAAATACAGTCAGACCAAACGCATATGAGACTATTTACAGCAGAACATCTGGGAAGAAGGCGGCGGGAAGACCAAGGAAGAGATGGATAAATGGTAGCTGAAACCTGCAAACAAATGAACAAATCCATCACTCATGTCATCAGAGAAGAGTAAGGCATTTACAGAAGACCACGAAACTGGGCTACAAAATCGCATCAGTGAGAGTACATAAGGAAATGTTCTGCTCCGGGTGCACTATGCCCAGGCTCTAGCTGCTGTATCAGTGTTGCTAATATCACCTGCAAAGGTTGCTGTTTTTTGTAACATTGCCTACAAAGGTTGCTGTTTTTGATAAATAACCTCAAAAGGTTGCTGTGGACTATAAATGTTGCTGTTTTTGTAATATCGCCTATAAATGTTGCTTTTTTTTGTAATATCGCCTATAAATGTTGCTGTTTTTGTAATATCGCCTATAAATGTTGCTGTTTTGGTAAAATCGCCTATAAATGTTGCTGTTTTTGTAATATCGCCTATAAATGTTGCTGTTTTTGTAATATCCCCTATAAATGTTGCTGTTTTTTGTAATATCGCCTATAAATGTTGCTGTTTTTTGTAATATCGCCTATACATTTTGCTGTTTTTTGTAATATTCCCTATAAATGTTTCTGTTTTTTTTTTGTTTTTTGTATTATCGCCTATAAATGTTGCTGTTTTTGTAATATCCCCTATAAATGTTTCTGTTTTTTTTTTTTTTTTGGTAATATCGCCAATAAATATTTCTGTTTTTTTTTTTTTTAATATCCCCTATAAATGTTTCTGTTTTTTTGTAATATCCCCTATAAATGTTTCTGTTTTTTTTTTTTTTTGTTGTTGTAATATCGCCTATAAATGTTTCTGTTTTGTAACATCACCTACAAAGATTGGTGTTGTGTAACATCACCAATAAATATTGCTGTTTTTTTTTTTTTTTAATATAACCTACAAAGATTGCTGGTTGTTTTTTTCATATTATAACCTACAAAGTCCCTCTTTTTGTAACATCGCCTATAAAGCTAGCTGGGTTTTTTTTTTAATATAACCTACAAAGGTTGCTGTTTTTGTAATATCGCCTATAAAGCTTTCTGTTTTGTAACATCCCCTATAAAGATTGCTGTTTTTGATTAAAAAAAACTACAATTGTTGCGGTTTTGTAACATCACATATAAAGGTTGCTGTTTTTGTAATATCGCCTATAAATGTTTCTGTTTTGTAACATCACCAGGGACTTGGATTTTTTTATCTGTCAGGTCTATATATTTACTGGTGTTGTTTTTGTAATATCGCCTAACATTTCTATTTTTATTATATACATGTTGCTGTTTTTGTCATTTCATCTATAAATGTTACTGTTTTGTACTATCCCCCACAAGTGTTACTGTTTTTTGTAATATAATAATTAAATGTTGCTGTTTATATAATATCATTGTAAATGTTACTGACTGTACTGTCACCAAAACATATTGCCGTTGTTTTGTTAAAATTTTCTTTGTCTATGATTTGTTTTTTTAAATTACCACACATAAATGTCAGTCTTAAATGTGTATAAGACAGAGTCCGGTAACACCCCCCCCCCCCCCCCCCCCACCACATCGAGTGCTGATTGGTCTATAAAATGTAGATCTAGTAATATACGTCCGAGGGCGTGAAAAAAGGTCCTGTACTTGTACATATAAATGTTACCTTCTAAAAAATGTTACCTATAAGTCTTGCTGACTACCATCTGTATTAACTTCTGTAAATGTCATTTTGTTTGTAAACACATAAATGTTTTATGACGGTATTATCAAGTATAAATATTGCTGTTCTTGTATTTATTATATTTATGCATGTTTTTTCGGCGAGATGCGGACCACACTGAGAGCCGATTGTTCTATAAAATATAAGCCTAACCTTATATGCCCAATACCTCCAAAGGATTGAAAAGGGGTTGTTTCCATTTTTTTTTTTTTTTTGATTTTTCAATATTGCATGTTTATGTTCTGTATTAGCAAGCAAACATGTTGCAGTTTGCATTTTCAAGCAAAAGTATAATTTTTTTTTTTATATTATCACAATTAATTAAAATGTTATTTTATTTCACGGTTGTTCTCACTACAAATTGGGATTTGCTCTTTATTATTACTTATTATAACCTTAGGTGTTAAAGGTTGTTTTTTTTTTTTTTTTTATGATACTTTACAGGACGTTGCAGAACCAACTCCAGCACTTTCTGGCTGTTGTGGTTTTTCTAGGCAAATTTACGTCCAGCAGTTTGCCATTGCTTTCTGGATGGTCTGCTCTGGGTACCAGGGTCGAAATCATCGCAAGACAAACAGTCCGCAGCCGGGATCGAACCCGGCACCCTCACATTACGAAGCGCGTTCGCAACGCCTAAGCCACAAACGCCGATTTGATCTTTACTACAAAGCACAAAATACATGCCTGTATGTTTGTTTGTACATCTTTAGTGAAGTAATAACTCCTCCCAAACGGTACCGGGAGTCACCGTTGCCGAGCGGCTAGACGCTCGCCGCGGATTGGAAGCTCGTGGGTTCGCTCCGTGTCGGAGCCGGACTATTTTCAAAAATGAGCTTGGCTCCCAGGTCGACCCAGACTTGAGTGGGTACCGGGTGCAGTCCGTGAAGTAAAGGCAGCCGGCGTAATGCTGACCACATCACCCATCTTGTGCCGATTGGTTTATAAAAAAATAGGTCTAGCCCTATATGCCCTATACGCCTTAAGGCATGGAAAAGGGTCCTTCACTTTACTTTTTGAAACAGTGACCTGTAGATGGGTTAAATTGCCAGATACCATTATGTCTGCAAGGTTTAAGCATGTCGTAGGAATGGACTGATTAGGGGTCTTTTTTTGGCGATAGGAGTACCTGACAGGAAATGGAAAAAAACAGTCTGCTTACCAATAGTAATAGTAGTAGTACATTTTACCCACTAGGACATCACACAAGCGATAAACACCCGATGACACAAAGTACTACCATGTAGATGAGGATCACCCGTGGAGAGGTCCTAGAAACCGCGTTTTGCCATTAGACCATATTTGTGACCTGGCTATATTGCAGCCCCTGGCAAAAGCCAGGGTGGGGCTTCAAAATAACGAAAAATTACCTCCCACAAGGGGATGACGCTAAATAAGTTACCAATCCGTCAGCTCTCTGAAACGTGTCATGTGCATGCAAAACTCAAATTCTGTAACAAAATTATGGTCGTGAAGTGGACGAACATCCACAGTTTTCTGTCAGAGTTTACAGCCGGTGAACGCGAAGAAGATGAAACAGAAGAAAACGTTTACCAGGGATTGACAATAATTTGTGTGGGTCAGGTTTATATATTTACTGGTGTATTTAACTGTCAGCGTGTTAGATTCTTTAGGTCCGGCTGCCGCCCTTTCCCACGCATGTTGTGTGCGAAGAATTGCCGCATATAAATGTTAATTTTACATATTTTTTTTTTATTATTATGACAAATTAACTGTTTCAGTACCGAGCAACTCACCATACGTTACTGTGTCATTCCGAAGATAGTATAATGTTCTTGTTATGTCTATCACAGATTGCAGTTATGTTAGTCTATCGTATTTGAATGACTAGTTTGACTACTTCTGTCCCATGGAGTCTCCAACGAGTTCTTTCAGAGTTAAATTTATTTTACGTTTGAACTCAGCTATTTCTAGCAGGAGTTTAAGTAAATAATTGTTTGGGACAGTAGTGTAGTTCCCATATTGTAGCCGTGGTAGCCCAGTGGGTAGCCCCGTTGTCTGCCGGCGCGAAGGTTGTAGGTTTGAATCTGTACAAGGTGGATATTTAAAAAAAAAAAATATTTAAAAATGACAGCTCTTTGGTCAAGAAACCCTAACGTGAATACAGAGTTTGGTGTAACTTTATGGTATAACATTATCTCCTCCGCCTCTACGCCCATGTCATTTCAAATAGGGCGTAATGGTGGGGGAGAAAACGTTGATTACCAGTCAAGTGATCTACAGAAGTATGAGCCTAGCTTCATAAACTAGAGACGCTACTAGCGTGAAATGGTTGATGAGAAAAAGAATAATGTAACTTGTGTTAACCTGGCAATAAATGTTACTCTTGTATCGAAACAATCAATTAAGGTTGTTAGAACATACAAAGTGATGACTGTTATTCGTAAAAGCCAGTTAAAATGGTGGTAAAATTGTAGACCATCTATCTTCTAATTATTTAAAAGTATATACGAACATTTAAACTAACATCGTTATCAGCTATTAATAATAATTACATTGGCACTTTCCGTCATTCCAGACGATAGTGTTATATTGCGCTATGAGGAGGCATGAGACTCACAGCCCATGGCGATGGCGAGTGTGACTAGGAAGACCCGCCCGTGTCAAGAAAAGTCTTCCACAACGATTTGTTTCCGAGACCGATCAGAAGAGCAGTGTTCTATCTGTCTGCCTGTCGGAGCCTCCCTCCTAGACCAACTGCCAGCCAAAGCGAAGGGCCTGGTTTGCACTGCCATAACACAACGTTTTCAGGTTGCATTTCCTCTTTATATTTAATAATAATACGAGTATATTTATATACAACTGAAAAATGACCGTTTAAATCCACATGACTAGTTATGGTATATAATTCAGTCGTGTTGACTATTTATTTTGAACTGTGATATTACAGTGTTCAGTCGTGTTTTGTTTTTAATTGTCTGCAAAGACTTTGGTCGAAACATTTGTTTGCATCTTGATTTGCCTTTTAGTCCAACCTCAGATTTAAATGTTTTATTCTTTTCCTTGTTATAACATTGCAATAGGAATCGTCCAACTCCATAAACCAATTACTAAAAGAATATTCCAGAAGGTTTAAGCAATATAAGCTTACGATTCACTCACAAAATTATCAACTTATAAACATACCTACCCACTATGTCTCTAATCTGCTGACAACGCTGTCGGGAATTCCACTTCTGGTGACCTGATGACAAGACTTGGTTACAGCAGTATCCAATTCGTGACTGGTGGATGTCGTGGACGAAGAAGGGGAAGAAACGCTCGTGGATATCAACGACGTGGCTACTTCAGCGCTTACGGACGTTGATATAGGTTGAAACCTTTGAGAACTGAGTTGTGCGGTTCTGAATTCATTGGGAGAATAAATACTAGAGTTTCTCATGCCCACGGCACTGAAGGCACACAACCTGTCTCTTGGAAGTAAACTGTTGTTCATCTCAAGCCATGTTAGATGATCGCTTGATAGTCTGCGGTCAGAAGTAGGAGTATCACAAAAAGATCTTGTCGTTTCTGTCTGATTGTGTCTATTGTGACTTAACAAACCGTTGTCCTTTGTTGAAACTAGGGCATACCCGTTCTCCTGGTTGGTTTTTTGGTGTGAGCCATGCAGATCTGATCGGTAGAAGTGATATTCTTCAGCCGTGCGGTTCATGTGCTCTAGCGCTCCTGTGGCCATAGAAGACAGTTCTTCTGGGAGTTCTGAAGGATCTGGATGAGATAGCTGGCACATAACTTTCTGAAAGTGGTTACTGTGGTTGTTGGTTTTGGACTGTTTGACGATTGGTGAATTACTCGCAACTTTCAAATCGTTGAAACTATTGACGTTTTCGCCTGCAGTATCTTTATTGTGAACGACATCAGCTTTAGGGCTGACTGTATATAGACTAGAAGACCACTTTAATAACTTGTGATCATATCTTTGTGGGTAAATTTTTCCGCCGTTTGTAGTTGTCATGTTGAGCTTATTTACATAAATGCTACTAAGTGACTGGCCGTTGTCCTTATCATCATCATGCCTGTGAAGCTCATGCTCCGGAGACTCGTTTCCCGATGTGACCTGGATGTCGCTCTGCACACAGTCGTCATCACTAGCATCCAGTTCCCGCTCACTCTCGCTGGACAAATGACTTACAGTTATATCGACGTCTTCGTTTGTATTTGTTTCGTGTTTGTCCTTGCTGTTATCACTGATTGTAGTTAATTGTGGATCTTCTTGTTTCCTTTCACGGCTGTGATATAAGTCCGCATGGGAAATGTGAATGTCATGATCGCTCGGCTGTTGATCACTCTTTGAGTCATGCTCGTCCTCATCTGGAGCTAGCAAACTAGCCATGTCAAACAATCGCTTTCTACTTTGCTTTCGGGGCTGAACGTGTACATTGCCGTACTTTGGCGTCTGGTGAAGTAGAAGCAGTTGGTCATGTTCACATCCAGGTGATATTGGGGTCAACACGTGGTCATCTGGTGAAACTAGAGAGTCTAACTGACTTCTTTCTGACTCCTGCGTGGCATCGTGATGTGACCAGCGCGGTATGGGCGACGCCGTCGGGCTGTCATCGTCATCTGGAACCGACAGGCCCATGTGACGACGAACCTTTCTTTGGGCACGACGTCTGCGGAAGTCACCTCTTTCAAAATCGTCGACATTCGCCGGGTGCACTGCCCAGTAGTGTCCCTTGCCGTTGGCGCTTCTGCCCGACTTAATGAAACAATCATTGAGAGATAAGTTGTGTCTGATACTGTTCCTCCAACCAGGACCTCGCGTACGAAAGTAAGGATAATTATCAAGTATCCACTGGTATATATCACTTAACACCAATTTCTTATCCTTGGAGTTGAGTATGGCCATACCAATGAGACCTATATAACTGTGACTAGGCTTGGGTTCCTCTTGCACAAAACGGGCTCTGGGGTCGTGCTTGTAAAAATAGGCCTGAGTGTACGGATCGGTGATGTAAGCGTGGAAAGGGGACAACCCTAACGAATTCTGATAATTACGTAATCCTAGCTGTACTCGTACGTTGTAATCGTTAAGCTGCGTATTTTGAAAGTCTAGTGTTGATAAGTGAGCTTGAGTTAAACTTCCTGTTGGTGCGAATGGAAAATAAGGAGCAGGAACTTTCAGGCCGTAAGGTAACATTGTTCCTTGCGATGGGGCACACACTGTTTTAAGAATAAAATACTGTTTGAAGTATACCTTATCTACACTTTAAAATTAAAATTAGCGAGGAAAACACTCAAAGCTGTAAAGGACAAATATGTCGGGTTAACTGGTCCGATTTCCGAAGACAACGATCAAGGGAAACATTTGTACATAAAGGTTTATCCAATGTCAAAACACAGCTTACGGCCAACGCCACACTGTACGAACATGGCTGGAAAAGTTGACGACCCTAACAGGGTCGTCGATGTGTGTCTAGCCCCGCCCAGTGCCTGCTATTGAGTATGTGATTCACACAGACGACGATTGACAGCAAAAGACGTCCTGTTATTGGTCATGGGCAGCGCCAGATTGTCGTTTGTGGGTAATCCTGTTTGGATCGATCAGCCGTGTCCCAGCCAACCTGCGACAGCGTCGCCCAACATTTATCTGGGTTGGGAATAGCTTTGCCGCCGTCCCCACTTGTTCGGGGATTGTATCTCTTTCGTTACATTATTAACAGTGGAGGTCTACTAGAGTTTATAATGTTAAAATTATAGTTTAGCCTTTCATAATTGCGCCGATTTTATTTTAATTAGCTGAGTGCGGAATAGACTAGAAACATGTCAAGATGGAAGCCTATACGACGAGGAAGTAACGACTCTCGGCTGACACTTGAGGCCACGAAAATAACAGTAGACAATATTACTAATGCATGGTAGTTGATTTGCACTTATAGCAGATATAGGAGGAAAACAAAAGAAACAGAAAGAGTAAATGAGACTGGGGGAGAAGGCTAAATACATGAGAGATTTGTGTGTCGAATTTTCTAGTAAGCCATAAATAGTAGATTATTTCTTGTCTTTTATTTCCTCTATTTTTTTTCCTTCTTCCCAAAGTCGAGACGGAAGCCTTTATACGGCGTGAAAGTAACCTTTGATCGGCACTCATGGCAGATATAGGCGAAAAGTAGAAGAAAGAGTTAATAAGGTAAAAAAAAACTGAAGACATTATAGAGATGTTAGTGTCGAATCTTCTAGTAAGCTGTGAAAAGTAGATTTTTTCTTTTGCCTTTTGTTGCCTCTAATTTTTTCTCCTTTGCGAAGTCAAGATGGACACGTTTACTGCGCATGGAGAAAATAACAGTTTTTGAAAGCCCTTGAAGCCATTTGAATATTTTAAAAAAAATGTACAGCAATTGGTAGACTTTCTAGCAAGTTGCGGGGAGAGGGAGAAGGAGAAGTATAGGGACGAAGGAGAAGTATAGGGGGGGTGAAGAGGGGGGGGGGGGGGGGGGGGGGGGTGGGGGGGGGGGGGGGGGGGGGGGGAGAGAAATAGAGAGAGAGCGCGCGAAATAAAATGACTTGGTCTTGAATGTCCTAGTCAGTCTTTAAGAGAAGCTTGCTTTATTGTGTCTTATACTGCCTTACCTTTGTACTTATTTTTCTCGAGTGAAAATAGAAACTCTGGTGAAAAGTTCTGGTTGTTCATCCACTTCTGGACTGCAGTCCTGCTCTAGAAACTTTTTGTTCGATTTTATATCTTTTCTAGAAACCCGAGTGTGCATCAGTTTTACAAATATGACATTTGTATGCAGACTGCTGGTTCCTTGCCTCTCAGGTAGATGCACTCCAACTTTAAAGGAAGCTCCCAGCTAGTCGACTCTTATGACATGCTTTTGGGTCGGCAGTGGGTCTATTCTTGTTTTCCCTATAACAGGGCCCCGGAAGCCACACGGGGAACATTAGGAATAAAATTAAATTCGCAGTCGCTGATCAGCACTGGTAGCATACATCGTAAACGACAGAAGAAATAAGAGGACAGTAAAACAAACACATCAATTAAATAACTAGATTTCGAATTTTCTAGTAGGTCCTAAAAGGGTTTACTGTCGTATACGGTCTTTAGTCGGCTCTGTGGCTGAGTACATGCGAACGCTTCGTAATGCAGGAGTGCCGGGTTCGATCCCAGCTGCGGGCCATGAACCTTGCGTTGGTTTCGACAGGGGTATCAAGAAAGCCGACCGTCCAAAAAGCCAAGGCAAACTACTGGACGTAAATTTGCCTAAAAAACCACACAGCAGCCAGGGGCTGTTTGGGTTGGTTCTGCAACGTCCTGTAAAGGATACACAACTAACCTTTTTTATACGGTCTTTAACTTTTGTTTCTTCTCCAGGTAAAAATTGAAGACTATACTACTTTTAAAAAAAAATCACAGAAGACTATTATGGATTACTGATATTACATTAGAAAGATAATTAAAGCCTAGGGGAGGGTGAAGGGGGTGGAATAGACCCACTGCCCCGCCCCCACCCCCACCAACAAGCATATCGTAAATTCGACTAATTAGAGGTGTGTATTTTTTTTTCGAAGTTGTATATGTCTGCCTGGGAGGCGAAGGACCAACAGTCTGTTTACAAATAAGCTGGTCTGTAAAACGTAATTGCATTCACAACTCAAATTCTGAAATAAGACTATATCGGCGTTTCCAAACGTTGTTTTTTCTGTGGCTGCCGCTTTTTTGTAGATGAACACTCCCCCCCCCCCCCCCCCCCCCCCCCCCCCCCTACCCCAACCCTATTTCTACTGCTTCCCCCCCCCCCCCCCATTTTTATTCCTGAAATGATTATCATCATCATCATGTACCGTGCTACAAGTCATAGGCGGTCATCATTCGCTAACCTACACGATCAGCAGAATCTTGGATCGGATAGTGCTCCTGTACCTCCCCTGGCAACTGGGTAAGCAATCACAGTATTTACCTCTTGGCTTTCTTCGTGTCCTCTTTCTATCAAAATTGCCAGTTGTCACCAAATTCTCGAGTCTGTTCCTTGCATTGAAAAATGCCTTTTGTAAATTAACAAACAGAATGATACAAAGCCAGTTTAGTTTTGTGTCTTCCTTGTTTCTCTGCCTTACAACATCACCTGGTCTTTGATTTGTGTACGATTTTCTCCAGCTCAAATTCATAGATTGTTTTAAGACTGAATTTGGCGTTTTAAAGCTCTGAGATAGAACTTTTTGTTTTCTTTTAAGGTTTCCTGTAGCCTTTGCAAGATCTACCTTTCCCATTCTATGGATGAATATTTGAGTGAAATTCACAGCTTCACTGTTCTAGTAGACAAACATTCAGATGTTGTTTTTTATTTTTTATTTTTCATTTTATTCCACAGTTGACGATGTCTTAATTAGAGGGTGAGATTACTTGGAGGACTGAATTTACGTGTGTGAATATGTGAATATGTGAATATGTGAATATGTGAATATGTGAATATGTGAATATGTGAATATGACAGCTTTTTATTTAGTTAAACTGTCATTTGAGACAAGAGAGAGCATTTGTAAACTTTATATAAATCCTATATTGGTATACGGATGTGAATCATGGACAGTTAGTAAATTAGTGACAACTTGTTTGGAAGCTGCGGAGACGATGAGAATAACTTGAACTGATTGCTCACATCAGAAAGAGACAATCTACATTCTTTGGTCATGTGATGAGAAGGAGAAAACTGGAGTACATCGTGACGGTAGGAAAGTTGGAGGGGAGGAGAGGCAGAGGGAGACCGAGAGAAAATATGCTGGACAGTCTGACATTATGGCAAGGAAGATCATCTGTGTCAGAGTTAATTGAAAGTACACGAGACAGAAGGTTGTGGATAGACATGACTACCAACGCCACACGACATGGACTTTGAGAAGAAGAATAAACTGGAGTATTGGGGGTCTCTTCGAATGAGTGCTGCTGCTTCTGCTCTGAAGTTGGAGCAAGCTTCTCATGCCGATATCTGGAGTTTATAATGTAGATCTGCACACCTCCTTTTTGAGGCTTCTTTACCAAAAGCGTCGGTGATCATACGTGTCTAAATATTGAGGATATATTGATTTCTGAGTATAGTAAGTGAAAGAACTCATTTTGTGTGTGTGTGTCTGTGTGCCCCCCCCCCCCCCACCCCCCCTCCCACTCCCCCTTTCCTGCTTATTCCTAGACTTCTAGAGCTGTGCTGAATATGATTTAACAGTTAATCCAAAGTTCTGTGTTTTGAGGTTTGAGGATCTGAACAAAGGATCAACATCATGGCACACGGGTAGTAACCCATAGGCGCTTCGTTCTTCTTCTAACTTAAGTCTGAGTCCGAAGAAACTCAGCACAGTGCACAGGCTCTGTAGCACCGGCGAGGATTCTGAAATACTGTAAGTATATTTTTAACTCCTAATTTGCCCAATCAGCGCCGTTGGGCTACTCTTTTCGATTTCCAACTGCCAGCGGATTTTTTACATGCGCAACAATGCACACGGGCGTCCGATCTCACTACCCAGAGACCAGGCGGAATTTCTAGAAGTCCAAGTCCACGTGAAAAGATTCCAGCCGTCACCGGGGATTGAATCTGGAACCTCTAGCACTCCAGGTGCACACCATGCCTCGAGACCACGTAGCCCCCATAGCTCTGTGTGAGATTTCAAACACCATTTTGTCAGCTTTATATTTGCAAGTTGTTTCAAAGTTTCTCTTGCTAAATGATTTATATTTTTTTTCTCACTTTCTTTTCTTTCTTATTAAAATCTGTGATTCAGCAAATACTTTGGAAATCTCTTTTGCTTTTTATACTGAAATATTTGTACGGTAACGTAGGTGCTTTTCATTGCTCTGTGTGTTATTTGTAAGCTCATATTTTGAACCTTCTAAAGGTTCATACACACACACACATATTTACCCCACGTTCTATATGTATTGGCACCCCTTTTCCTACCCTGCTCCTATTCTACGAGGGTTGATCGAGCCACAGCCCTGAGATCAAGAACTAGCGAGGACACGATACGACGGCCATCGCACCTTCTATACAAGAAGTAAATTTGTTTAAATGTGTTTGAAATTTCTTCACAGATGCTACCATCGCACCTTCTATACAAGAAGTAAATTTGTTTAAATGTGTTTGAAATTTCTTCACAGATGCTACCATCGCACCTTCTATACAAGAAGTAAATTTGTTTAAATGTGTT